TGATGCTCAACAAGCACCAGTCCGCACCGAGTCTGACTGGAGTGTTGATGCCCAACCAGCTCCAGTCTGCTCTGAGTCCGACTGGAATATTGATACACACCAAGCACCAGTCCACGCCAAGTCTGACTGAAGTGTCAATGCCCAACACGCACCAGTCCGTGCCGAGTCTGACTGGAGTCTTGATGCCCTCCAAACTTCAGTCCAGGTCGAGTCCAACTGGAGTGTTGATGCACTCCAAGCTCCAGTCTGCTCTGAGTCCAACTGGAGTGTTGATGCCCAACAAGCTCTGGTCCGTGTCGAGCCCGACTGGAGTTTTGATGCCTTCCAAGGTCCAGAACGTGCTGTGTCTGACTGGAGTGTGAACGTCCTACAAACTCCAGGCCACACCAAGTCTTTATTTGATCCTTGCTCAGGTATGAATCAGTTTTTCATTTGCACTTTGGAAATGTATACTTAATATTGATTTTTTTTTTATGTGCACTTAATGGGTAATTGTTGAATAAGAATTTGAAGTTCTTATGAAAAAAAAACTAATATTTTGATAATTTTGTTTTAATTTTAATTCATTTGAGCTCATAAAACTGCATGTGTAAATTATATAAGATGAAAGAAAATAGTTTAACATAGTTTTATGTTAAATAAATATAAACTCTGTAGGATATGTCACTGCTTGATTTTTAATGTCAAATACTCTTATTTGTCTTTTATAGACATCTTTTCCTGCTATGAAGTCGGCAATATGCTGGTTCAAGGAGGATTTGGAGCCATCTACGAAGGGAGGCATGTGAAGGATGGCCTTTGGGTATCATGTTTTATTTCATTCTTTTTTACTTAGCCCGAAATTTCTTATCTTCATTCTTTTGCATTTGGTGCAAGTCCTTCTAGTGTATCTTATGTTTTTAAATTTTTGCTTGGAATTTATATTCACAAAACTTATGCGCATATCTGTTCAGGAATAATGATTGCAATGATATGACCTCTACACATGTTAATTATAAATATTTATCATACAAATTCTTCTTCTTTCTTTTGTTGATCAGGTGACAGTAAAATTCGTCAAGAAAACAGAGGATAGGCAATACTACATCACCTTTGTAAGCAGACTGTGCTTTCTGTATTTTTTCCCTTGAGTCATATCACTGTTTTCAGCATTTGGGAATCCACCTCCGTCTAACCATCATAAAACTTGTTTTTATTTCAGCCTGAACCTCTTCCACTGGAGGTCACTCTTTTAATCCTTGTAAATGAAGGCCCCAGAGTTCCCCAGATAATCCAGCTGCTGGACTGGAAGGATGTTGGTGAATACTGTATCATGATTCTGGAGTGGCCTATTTCTTGCGAGGACTTGTTTGATTTTGTGCAGCACCATGGAGGCAGAATCGACGAGGAGTTGGCTCGGGTTGTCATACGGCAGGCAACACAAGCTGCCAACGTGGAGTGCTGCACCGGGACATCAAAAAGGAAAACCTTTTGATCAACAAGGACACCCTAGAAGTCAAACTAATTGACTTTGGGTGCGGCGACCTCGTTCAAAGTGCACCCTATACTACATTCATGGGTATGTATTGAAGCCATAAAATAGGAATCACTGAAGCATCATGCTAATGGGCAGCTAGACAAAATGCTGTGGTAATGCAATGCACATAACACAAAATCTCTTTTTCTGACAGGTACACGAATGTACTGTCCAACCGAATTCCTATCAGAGGGCAAGTACCACGGGGAGCCAGCGACAGTATATTCACTGGGAGTGCTCTTGTTCTTGCTGGTATGCGGGACATTTCCAGACAACGTCAACCTGATTATGATCAATCTGAACCATTGGTTTATAGCTTGCTTGTTACTAGGTAAGATCTTCATGACAGCAAAGAAAGCCGATTGTAATTCTAAATTACACAAAAGAGAAGAACGAAACACGATACAAAAGAAAAATTGTAATTAATGCAGGATTTTTTTTTTCCAGATTTCTAACCTCCAGTCCTGTCTAGTCGTACAGTTTAAAATAATAGAGGTATGAAGATAAAAGTAATAATCAGTTGTCTCTCTTATCTTTTTGCAGAGTGCTGCCAATTGATCTGCTCTTTCCTGCAGCATGAGCCAACAGAGCGACTCGATTTGGGCAAGATTCTGCACCATGAATGGTTTAAAAAATTCAAAAGTTTAAAAAAGAGATTATTATAAAGATTCTGAAAGCCTTTTGTGGGTTATGTAGCCAATCCTTGTACATATATAGATTATAAGTTGTAAGACACTAGGAAGACAGTCCAGTTTCCAAATCAAAAAATGACACAAAAAAAAATAAACCTGATTTTTGGTTTTATTTCAGAGCACAGATATAGAGAAATTTGGCAAGTAGTGGCCATGCTCCCTGTCACAGCCAGCCCAGGTGTTGTCATGTACTGACAGCTCATCATGACCCAGAGCTCCATTTCCGTCCTTGCAAACTCAGTGAAAAAGTATATATGTAAATGTATAGGACCTTAATGATGTTATAAATAACCTTTTTAATTACATGTTTGTTTTCATTAATATTTATATATTAGTGTATTTATATTATTAGTAGCAGTATTAATAATACTGTATTTGTATATTATTGATTAATATTGGGGTTTTTTTGCCTGGTCTTATAATCTTGGAGCCTCTGTTAGGGTATTAAATTTAAAAAATGACAGTACTCTAAAAACAGTTATTAGCTGTATACATTAATTAATGAAAATTTACACTGAACATAAATAAATACATGAAGTAAAACAACATCGAAACCATTATTTGTATATTTTGGTGTAGTTGAGTGTCAGTTTCTCAGATTGTAGGACGTGACAGTATCTGAAATACACAATTGAGTTCAGAGTTAGGGTATATCTCTTTAATTTTCCAAAAGATCTCTTTTACAGTAGTGAAATAAAAGCTAACTTTCTTAAAGCTTATTGTTGAATTTCAATGTATCTGCTCCCCTCTATTAATGCTGTATACTGTAATAGACATTGGTTGTTACAGTAAAATATATATGTACATATAAAAGTGTTACATTTATAATTACTATTTCCTGTGTCCAGTTCACTCACGTTCACGTTTGAAGATGAAACGTCACATGGAGCACGTTGCATTGTGAGAAACCGTATTCCATGCAGCGTCCTCAGATACATACATCAGATTTCAGCAAATGTAGGTAATTTGGGAATTCCATGCATACAGAAAATTAATGTACTATTCACAGTATACACATTGCATACTGCAATACCATAGGAGTTGTATGGTAGTATGCCATTCAGAACAAAGCTTCTGTACTGATTTCAGGGTACCTGAGTTATATTTAGCAGATTCTGGCAATTATAGTATACTATAGAACATCCGGTTATTCCATGCATGCAGAAATTTTGCATACTATGCACAATATACATACTGGATACAGCAGAAATAGTAAGAGTAGTATGATATGGGATTTCGAACACAGCAACAGACTTGCAAAATGATTCCTGATTGCCAGTGTTCTCTAGGCAGTGGAAGTAGAAAATCAGACCAGTTTAGTACAATTTAGTACAAAAACAAAGAGATGAAACGTCACATGGAGCACGTTGCATTGTGAGAAACCGTATTCCATGCAGCGTCCTCAGATACATACATCAGATTTCAGCAAATGTAGGTAATTTGGGAATTCCATGCATACAGAAAATTAATGTACTATTCACAGTATACACATTGCATACTGCAATACCATAGGAGTTGTATGGTAGTATGCCATTCAGAACAAAGCTTCTGTACTGATTTCAGGGTACCTGAGTTATATTTAGCAGATTCTGGCAATTATAGTATACTATAGAACATCCGGTTATTCCATGCATGCAGAAATTTTGCATACTATGCACAATATACATACTGGATACAGCAGAAATAGTAAGAGTAGTATGATAAGGGATTTCGAACACAGCAACAGACTTGCAAAATGATTCCTGATTGCCAGTGTTCTCTAGGCAGTGGAAGTAGAAAATCAGACCAGTTTAGTACAATTTAGTACAAAAACAAAGAAAAAAAAAATACTCTCCTTATAAAAATCACAAAGCACAATCTTAAATCTTTTGATGTGAAGTACTGATGTGGGAAAATGCCTTGTGACAAAAGAAATGGAAATAAAATCCATCCGTACCATGGTCAATAATTCCACGTATAAACCACAACCCACTGTAAACGTGACGCTGTTAGACAAGAAAAACAAGGAATATGCTAAAATAATGCACAAGTATATTCAAAACAATTGTTATTTATTTTAATGTATATTCAGGTGCGTCGAAAATACAGAAAACAAAGTAGGTGTGGTATTCACGGTACCAGATTTTAATGTCAGAATTAATAAAAGATTTTTAGACAATCTATCAGTATACACTATAGAGAAAACATGGCAATCCTAATAGCGTTACAGTGGGTTAAGGAAAATAAACCACTGAGGACACATATGTTTTGACTCCAGTTCAACTTTAAGGACATTAGAAACAGGTCACATGAAAAGCAAAGCTGATGTGCTGATAGAGATCCTTCAGACAATGTACAGGATTCAGATGATGGGTTTAAAGGTACCTTTCTGTTGGGTACCAGCTAATAGGTGTAAAAGGAAACAAGTTGGCAGATAATTGTGCAAAGGAAGACACAAAAAAGCAAACATAGACATGAAAGTAAAATATAGAAAGACTGAAATGAAGCTTTGAATTAAACAACGTGGAGAAATGACAAAACAAATGTTGAAGGATGAAAACCGGAAGACGGTTTTATAACAATCAAAGAAATGTTGGTAAAGGTAGAATAGCAAAGAAAAATAGAAACGAAGAAACAATAATTCACATGATAAATGGTTTAATTTTTAATGCAATATCTGAAAAAAGACATGGGTATTTTAGGAGATAACACCAATATGTTCGTACAATCTTAACCCACACCAGCAGATGGCGGTAATGTACTTTAAAGTTGTATGCCACCCACCCAAAGAAAATCAAGAAGAAGAAGCAACAGTAGGCTAGCTGTTTAATGTAACCCCCGTCATTCTGAAGCGCTGCTGCAGCGCCATCTGGACTCAACACAGCGACACTACTCTACATCTTCCAGAAGAATGGAGGAAATTGACATAAAGCTCAGAGCTGATGGCATTCAGAAAAAAGTCACCTCTCCTGGAAAAGGAGAACTTTCGACGTTTCCCGATGGAACAAAGGTAGTGTAACGTACAGGATACACTTTACAGTAATGAAATGTCGAGACGACCAACAAATGTGTTATTTAACGCGTCGAACTCTAAAGATAGGGAGCTAACGTTAGCTGGATTCGCCACTTTTGACGCATAATAATATGGGCTTAATTTCGACTGAAAATAGGCCAAAAGTCGTACAGTGTAATGCGTTATGCATATATCGCAATGCGAATAGAAGAATTTCAACTGGTGTATGTCTTGTTTTTACAAGGGAGGCGCCAGGCATCCAGATTTAGCCGTTAGCTAAGCATCGCGATGGATAACGTTAACTTACCTGATGCTATACGCGATGAAGGCGGTCTCACAAACAGGATGTCTGTCTGTCTTTGCATTTTTGGCACTGAGAGGAGAAAAAAGGTTCATCTCTTCTGAGTGACAGCTGAAAGCTACCTACCCCATAACAGCAACATCATATAGGCGCTGGCTAAACATAAGCAACATAAATAATATAATATTAACCCTGTGAAGCCTGACATTAAATAATCTCTGTTTTCTCTCTGTGCCTTGTGGTGCTTGAGGCGAAGCCAAGCGAGCATATACTGTATAGTAGTAGTACAATCTTATTGATTGATTGATTTAACTTTAAAGGGGTGGTTGATTGCGATTTCACTTTTTTTAACGTTAGCTGCAGCGCCATCTGGACTCAACACAGCGACACTACTCTACATCTTCCAGAAGAATGGAGGAAATTGACATAAAGCTCAGAGCTGATGGCATTCAGAAAAAAGTCACCTCTCCTGGAAAAGGAGAACTTTCGACGTTTCCCGATGGAACAAAGGTAGTGTAACGTACAGGATACACTTTACAGTAATGAAATGTCGAGACGACCAACAAATGTGTTATTTAACGCGTCGAACTCTAAAGATAGGGAGCTAACGTTAGCTGGATTCGCCACTTTTGACGCATAATAATATGGGCTTAATTTCGACTGAAAATAGGCCAAAAGTCGTACAGTGTAATGCGTTATGCATATATCGCAATGCGAATAGAAGAATTTCAACTGGTGTATGTCTTGTTTTTACAAGGGAGGCGCCAGGCATCCAGATTTAGCCGTTAGCTAAGCATCGCGATGGATAACGTTAACTTACCTGATGCTATACGCGATGAAGGCGGTCTCACAAACAGGATGTCTGTCTGTCTTTGCATTTTTGGCACTGAGAGGAGAAAAAAGGTTCATCTCTTCTGAGTGACAGCTGAAAGCTACCTACCCCATAACAGCAACATCATATAGGCGCTGGCTAAACATAAGCAACATAAATAATATAATATTAACCCTGTGAAGCCTGACATTAAATAATCTCTGTTTTCTCTCTGTGCCTTGTGGTGCTTGAGGCGAAGCCAAGCGAGCATATACTGTATAGTAGTAGTACAATCTTATTGATTTAACTTTAAAGGGGTGGTCGATTGCGATTTCACTTTTTTTAACGTTAGTTAGTGTGTAATGTTGCTGTTTGACCATAAACAATATCTGCAAAGTTGCAGCGCTGAAAGTTCAATGCAAACGGAGATATCGTCTTTTTAAATTCTGGCAGTTTAATGCCTAACGGATGGTAAGGGACTACAACCTTCTTCCCAGGTCCGTTACGTCACGAACCCAGATAAACCCCGCCCCCGGGAACACGCAGCAAAGGGGGCGAGGCCATGTTGTGCTGCTTTACTGAAGAGGAGGAGAAAACTAGAGGTGCACGTAAAAATCTGTTCATATATGAATCGCGATTCTGTCTTTTAACGATTCTAATGGATTCACAGGTTTCAAAACCAATGTTCTAAAGCAGAAGTTCTTAATACTGTTCCTCACGTCCCCTGCTCTGCATATCTCTCTCTCTCTCATTCAGATCTCAGATCAGCTCCAACAAACTGTTCCATTTATACACTTATTTTCACATAGCTATGAAGAAGCGTTATACATGGACGTGCATACGGTTGCTGTGCTGTATTAAAGCTTTAATCAGAATAAAACCATATATTAAAAGCTAACAGAAGCAGTAGCATTTACAAACAACAGC